TGCTGCTGCTGCTGCTGCTGCTGCTGCTGCAGCGCGGGGGCGCGTGCTGTAGTGCGCTGGCGCTGCTGCTGGCAGCAGCAAGCCGGCGGAGCCCCCGAGCGAGCGCCTTCAGCTGCTTCGGAGGCAGAAACGCATTTTGAGGGATTTGAAACTGCAAAAGAGTCTCAAAGAAGAAAAAAAAAGAAGAAAAGGATGGCTAGAAGTTGTGCATGCAGAAGGGCGGAGAGGCGAAGTCGCGCCGGCTGCAGCAGCAGCGAGCGGCTGCGGCGCCGTTCTGAAGAAATAAATCAACAAAATGACGAATTCAGCAAATTTAAATGTTTATTAGTGCAAATTTCACTTATTTTTGTGCAAAAAACAACTAAAATGGTGCTTTTGGCGGCAAGGAGAGCAGTTCTGAAGGACTTCATGCAAGAAACGCGTCCGGGCTGGGGCCCCCCGAGGCTGCCGCGATCTGCGGCGCTGGGGCTTGCTGGTCTTTCCTTGGTTTAAAATTTAGAAAAAGAAAAGAAAATGAGACATTTTGAGTTCGCAAAAACCAAATTTGCTCCGTAAATTAATGCCTCCGTGGGAAGGCGGCGGAAGACCTGCGGCGATGCCGGCCTGGCGTGGAGCGCAGCGAAGGCTTGTTCGGCTTGTTCGGCTTTTTCGGCGAAGATGAGAAGAATCGGAAAAGAATTAAAATGACTGCAGATGAGTTTCGCGTTTCTCCGCAGGCGGCTGCGGCTGGGGGCGTCGAGGTGTCTAGACACCTCAACACCTCCATTTGTGCAACTTGCCAGTTTCTACGCGGATCCATCGCTGGAACAATTGCCAAAACTGTTGTTTATCCTTTAGACCGCCTTAAAATGAAGCTTCAGGTGGGACTTGTGCAGATTTGGCAGCAACTCCTTCACAGCTGCAGCCTTCGTCTTCTTCCAGTTTCAGCTTTCCGAAACAGCAGCTGCTGCGAGGCCGGTCAGAGGCTTATTTGGCCTCTAATTCAGTTAATGTTCTTTTAAATGCAAATTACTTTTCATTTAAATTGCAAATTCAAGTTTTGTTCCACAGTTTCTTCTTTTTTCAACATTTCTGCACAACTGAAAGCTGCTGCTGCTGGAGCTCGCAGCAGCATTCTGTCGACTCACTTTTGCTCGTTTTTCTTCATTTTTTCTTTTTATTTATTTTTATTTTAAATTTAAACTTTAAAACAAATTTATTTCTCCGTTGTTTGTTCTTTTTGCGCCCCTGCAGCCCCTTGCCTGCAGCGTCGCTGTTTGTTCATGTATCATGTTACTTTGGGTCTTTTTGGAAATTCAAAAGCCCCTTTCAAACCCTTTAAAAGGGTTTTTCGATTTCTTTAAAAGCCCCTTTTGAGCCCTTTAAAGGCTCCTTCCGAAGCCCCTCGAAGTCCTCTTTTTGAATAATCAAAAGCTCCTTTTGAGGCGTTTGAAAACTTGAAAAGTTGCAAAACTTGCAAACTGCTGCAGGTCCAAAGTGCCTCCGTCTCCTCTTCTTTTTCTCTCCGCCATGTTCCCCGCGAGCTCCAAACCTTCGTCCAAACTGGAGGCTTCTTCTCCCTCTGGAAAGGGAACTCTACCGCACTCTTCAGGTCCTGCTGCTGCTGCTGCTGCTGCAGCTGCTGCAGCTGCTGCTGCTGCTGCTGCTGCTGCAGCTGCTGCTGCTGCTGCTGCGGGGGGAGGGGGCGGTGGGGCTGCTGCTGATGCTGTTGGTGCTGGTGTTGCTGCTGCTGCTGTTCGTGGTGGTGGTGGTGGCTATGGTGGTGTAGTGGTGGTGGTGGCGCTGCTGCTGCTGCTGCTGCTGCTGCTGCTGTTGGTGGGGGTGGTGGTGGTGGTGCTGTTAGTGGCGCTGCTGCTGGTGCTGGTGCTGCTGTTGGTGCTGCTGCTGCTGCTGCTGCCGCTCTCGCTGCTGCATTCTCGCGGCCGCTGCTCCCTTTACGCAAACTGCTGCAACCCCTGCTGCTGCTGCTGCTGCTGCTGCTGCTTCAGGACCTTTCCGCACAGTGGAATAGTTTACTTTTCTTTCGAAAGGTACCTCAAGGCTCTTGAGAGGCTCAACAACGAAAGCTCAAAAACGAATCGGCTTTTGGCGGGGGCAGCAGCAGGTGCGCTGCTGCTGCTGCTGCTGTTGCTGCTACTGCTGCTGCTGCCGCTGCTGCTGCTGCTGCCGCTGCTGCTGCAGTTGTGTTTTGCTTGCTGCGCTTTTTGCGCTGGTTTGCAGCGCTTTGGCGAAGCAAAAGCATCGAATTAATTGCAATTAAATTCCTATTTCAAAATTAATTGTTTAAATTATTTATTTAAATTATTTAATTGAATTATTTAATTAAAATGTTTAATTTTATTTATTTACTTTTGCTTTAGGGGCCACTTCAACTTGCTTTCTGTACCCCCTGGATGTACTGAACACCCGCATGTCCGTCACGCAGCACAAGTTGAGTTATTTGCAAGTGGGACTTTTTCATCATTTTAATCACTTTTAATCATTTTTAATCATTTTAAATCATTTTAAATAATTTTAAACCATTTTTATCATTTTAAATCATTTTAAATCATTCCAAATCGTTTGAAATGGTTTAAAATCATTTCAAATCATTTAAAATCGTTTGAAATCATTGTTCACCATTTTTTAACATTTTAAGTCGTTTTAAATCATTTTAAATCATTTCAAATCATTTTAGATCATTTTAAATCATTTTCACTCGTTTAAATTCGTCTAAAATCGTTTTAACCGTTTTAAATCATTTTAAATTGTTTTTAAATCATCAGATTTCATCCAAAAGTCTTTTATTTGAGTCAATTTCGACACAAAATTCATTTTTGAACTCTTTTCAAAATGG